AAACACTCTTTTTCTCTCCTGTCGTAAGTGATTTTTCACTGAATTATAGATGGTAATTATATAAGACAATTTCGAAAACCTCTATTTTGAAGTGTTTCGCCAATGAACCAACGTCATTAGAAAAGGAATTTTATTAATTTTCGTTCCATTCTTTATAGGAATGATTGCTAAAATACCCTCTCCCCAAATTTATAGATGCATCCTACAGATGCATGCTGGGATTTTCCCTAACCAATAAAAATAGACCCCTTGTCGGTTTCACCCGCCATATTTTACTTCTTTTTTGTCTCTATATAAGCACTTGACCGTAGCTTCCTTGCGTGTGAACACGTGACCGAGTGGTTAGAATGTTTGCATTCTGACCATGAAACCCGTGTTTGAATCTCACCATGGTCAATTTGTCATGAAGGTGACTTCTTGATGTTATCGGTCGGGAAGAGGTGATCCAAGAGTGTGGCATCTTTGGAAAGTGCCTGAAAACCATAAAACGGGTTGGCCCAAGCCTTATGAGTGGAATTGGGTAGACGGAACCCTTTCGGTTCCGTCGATGTTTGTCCTAACATGAAGTCACAAGTCATCGTGACCGAGGGTTTGAGCGTGCTGGCCTTGTTCAGACTGTTGATCACGTTAGATAACGTGCATTCTCCCAGGAATTTTAACTAAGATCCGCTCAGCATAGTTGCAGTATAAACCACAGGTGGGCTCTGTGGGTGTTGAACAAACACAGGATGCGCCTGGGCAAGCGTCTGTAATAGGGATTAGCTTGCCGCCCCAGTAAACGAGCATTCTCGGATACGAGTGACTTCGCTATTTCGGTCTCCCTTTTGCGTGTGAACACAATTTGTACTTTGTGAACTTTTTACCGTATTACTGTTGCTTTGATTAGTTTTAACTTGAATATATAATGTTTGCTTCGTATTAGTTTGGCCTTTTCTATTTTCTTCTTTCTCTTATTATTACAATAGAAGATATTTGTCTGAATATCACAAGTAAATATAAAAATCTAAGTATCTACTTGTCAGCAATTCTCTTCATTTATACGAAACTAATTTCACAAATATATGAGTTTCTCTTCGGAGAAAGTACAGGGTGGTCTGGAAGTCTTGTCACCCCTACATAATATAATTTTCTGTCAGGTATTATGAAGGAGAGAGTTTCACATGAACGATACGAGAATACCCATCAGTTGAAGGATGCCGTTTGCAACAATCAACAAAGCCCAGCTTCGTACAATATCACACAGGACGTGGCGCCGCATCATTTTGTGCCACGAAAATGATGGCTGTTCATACAGACCATCTCGGTGCGTGACTGCGTCAATGAAAGGAAATAAACTGAATCCAGTAAATGTGCTTTGTATTAGTGTATTACTTGTTGTTCTATTGTTGTCATTACGTTTTGATATGGGTGACAAGACTTTCGGATCACCCTGTACATAAATTTAAGATTGGACTGTTTTATTTTCTTCCTGCTCTTATTATTTATTGAGAAATTCCGTTTCTTCAATTACACTTAAAAATGGTCAGATTACTTCACAATTAAAAAAAAAAACATCCACATAAGAGAAAGACCGTGATTCACATGAAGTAAATGAAAAACTGGTTTTTACTTTAATTATATCGTTCTAGCAATTGGATTTTAAATAATTTCAACTCAGTTTCCATTTTATTTATTGATCTACGTACCCCAGATTGAAAAGAAAAGTCCAGGGTCGGTCCAAAAGTCTTGTCACCCAACTATAATATAATTTTCTATTTCAGAATGCTGACACGAGCTCCTACAGACCTTCTCGATGTGTCACTGTGTCAATAAAATTGAATAAACTGAACCCAACACATGTGCTTTGAATTACTGCATTATTTGTTCTATTGGTGTAGGGGCTGACAAAAACCCTGTGCATAAATTTAAGATTGGACTGTTTTATTTTCTTCTTGCTCTTATTATTTATTGATAAATTCCGTTTCTTCAATTACACTTAAAAATGATCAAATTACTTCACAATTTAAAAAAAACAACAACATCCACATAAGAAAGGGAACCCGTGATTCACATTAAGTAGATGAAAAGCTGGTTTTTCCTTAATTATATCGTTTTAGCAACTGAATTTTAATTAATTTCAACTCAGTTTCTATTTTATCTATTTATCTACGTACACCAGGTTGATTAAGTTCTTTCTTTTTATGTGCAGTGTCCTTTCAGGACGTAGACGATCACGGCTCTCCACTTCCTCCTATCCCTTGTAGCTCTCAATAAGTTTCGTGCCTCTGCCAACTCCCCCAGACCACATTCCGCCATCCACTTGTTTAAGCCCGCCAGGTATGACATCCGTTGCTTTCCCTTGTCTCTTTTTCCCGCTATTCGACATTTGAGTAGCGGATTCTCCAGGTCCTTCTTTCTCATTACGTGTCCCAAAAATGTCATCTGCATCTTCCTATGTTAAGTATAAGCTTCTTCGTTGTGTGCATCTTCTCCAAAACCTCATCGTTGCTCCCACGCTCGATCCATGATATCCTTAGCATCCTTCTGTAGAACCACATATCCGCTGCCTCGAGTCGCTTCTTCGTCTTTGAGGAGACCGTCCAACATTCGCTGCCGTATAGGAGGACAGATGTCGCGTAGCAGCTCAGTACTCTTTCCTTTATCACCGTAGAAATCCTCCTGTTTCGCAGTACTCTATCCAGCTTTTGGAATGCATCCTTGGCCGTCCCAATCCATCTTCGGATCTCAGCGTTGCACCTACCGTCCTCCGTCAAAACACGTCCCAGATATTTAAACTTCCGCCCCTGTCTCCGACCTGCAAATCGCATTTCGGGCACATCCTTTTACTGATGACCATGCAGTCTGTCTTCTTTATTTTATTGTTAGTCCCTTCTTCTTGCTCTTCCTCGCTACCTTCTATAGGAGGTTTTGTAGTTTATTTTCCATTTCTTCTATCAGTACTGTGTCGTCTGCGTATCTTATGTTGTTAAGATTGTGGCCGCCATTGCTGAATCCCGGTTAAGTTAAAGAAAAGTCCAAGGTGGTCCAAAAGTCTTGTCACGCCATCATAATATAATTTTCTATTTCAGATGACTGACACAAACTTCAACAGATCTTCTTGATGTGTGACTACGTCAATGAAATGGAGTAAACGGAATAAATCGAATCCAGCATATGTGCTTTGTATTACTTTGTTCTTTTATTGTTTTCATTACTTTTTCGTAGGAGTGACAATACTTTCCGACCATCCTGTATATACGAACATAAATAGGAGTTGATTGAGTAATTTGTTTTTACGGCTTATCAACCCTTTGCAGGTTATTTAAATGAAGAAAACTGTAATATTGTAATAGATTGGAAGATAATTTTGGTAAAATTTTAACAGATTGTATAAAATTTTGATAAATTGTAAGATAATTTTGGAGATATAATAATGATTTACTGATCAGTCAGTTATGTGTCCTGCGTGATACACGCTTAGGCGATCATGCATCTTTCGATAGATGACTGACGATGCAGTAGGTTGTCATTTCTTTCTGCGGTAGACAAGTTGCTATTCAAGGCTATAGAACCCGGCCTGTTTATGCTATTGACCCATAGCTGATGGGGAGAAGAAGAGGATTCACACCTTTCCCAATGATATTAGCACGTAAGTGAATGTAATGGATTCGACTGGAATTCGAACTCGGCTCTGCGATTCCTCAATCCGAGCTGCTATTACTGATACAAGTTTAATTAGCCCATAGCTTGAAAGAGAGAAATCGATTCCTACCTTTTAGCAAGGTATTTACACGTAAGTATATACAATGACCTCGACTGGAATTCGAACTCTGCTTTCCGATATGCAATTTCGAACCGTTATTATTACACGACCCGCACATTCAACACTTGCTATTCCAAGGCGGTCACCCATCTAGGTACTGATCAGCCTCAACTTCGGTGATCGTGCGAGGATCGGTATTTCAACGTAATATAGCCGTAAGCCAAAGAGGTGTTAAAATTTAAACAGCATGCTCAATGCATTTATATATGACCGGGTTATTTCAATTTATCATCTATCCTTACTAAATTAATACTGAAACAACTTGGGAGGCGTAAACCTTAATTATTAAACCGCGAAGTAGGGGTTTTGTAGCAATTTTCCAAACAAATCAGCTTATTCAAATTTCATCGATTGGTTTGCGAAATTGAACGAAACGTAGAGTTTGTAAATTTCGACAAAAAAAAATCTTAGCGACAACTTCAACATTCCTAAATACTGTGAGGTTTTCAACATGCGTCAGCGTGTTGCAAAATAATTCTAGTTCAAAAAAAAGATCAAGCGTTCAACCAGTTAGCGGAAATCGCGTTTTGTCTCGTTAATGTAGATTTTGTTAAAAATGAAATACTTTTTCCTGATGACGCTTGTTCATCGGCGAAATACGTTGAAACAGAAGTTTTTAAATTATCTTCTTTATTTACCATTACGTCGGGTTCTCATGCAGATTTTACTCACACTCAGTATATATTAGCGTGTCTTTTTGCAAAAACTGTTCTTTCCATTATATATACGTTGCATCCAACAAATATTAACATATAACGATCTTTCATCATTTCGTAATTTTTATTATTATCTCGCGTCTTCAGAAAACGTTAGCCAACATCAAACATTCTAGTGTTTACACTAATGGCCGCGTTATCCGCGCCAATGCGTAATCACCTTATTTAAATGCAAAAAGGCACACGATTAATGTATATAATGGCATCATTAGTTCGTTGGAGATTTCTAAACCCCAAAATGTAATTCTTTTACGACAGGAATAGAAATTTTGATCGACATTTTTTAGTTTTCCATGGATGTCAGTAATTTGTGCACGCACCAAAAATAGTAAAGATATTTTTAATCGACATCAGTTTTTTTTTTTTTTTTTTTTCTTCTTTTTATTGTGTTACTTATCGTTCAATTTTTTCAGTCAAGATCATCATTTTAAGCCGAGCACTTTTTTTTTCTCCATAGACCATTGGCTATTTTAGGTTCGGGTTTAATATGACTCATTGCTATGATTTTTTTTTTTTGAAGAAAGAAAGAAAGAAAGAAAGAAAGAAAGAAAGAAAGAAAGAAAAGGAATTTGCTTTATGAAAGAAAGTGAAAAGAAGGAAAGAATTTGGTTAAAGATCAAAGAAAGCAAGAGATAAAGAAAGATATTTTCTAAAACAAAGAAGGTAGAAAAAAGAGGTAAAAAAAGAGGGAAAGAAAGAAAGGTATTTCTTGAAAGAAAGTAAAGAATACAAAGAAATGAATTCGCTGAAAGAAAAAAAAGAAAGAAAACAGAAGAACAATGAAAGAAAAAGAAAACAAATTATAGAAAAAATTAATTCGCTAAAAGAAGGAAAGAAAGTATTAACGTAAGAAAAATAAATAAAGGAATTTTCTGATGAAAGAAAGAGAGAAAAATGAAATTTGCTATATGAAAGAAAGGGAAAAGAAAGAAGGAATTTGCTAACAGAAAATAGAAAGAAAAAATAAAATAAGATATTTTCTAAAACAAAGAAGCTAAGAAAAAGGATAATAAAAAAGAAATTAATTTCTTAAAGAAGGAAAGAAACAAATATTTGTTGAAAGAAAAATGAATTTTCTTAAAGAAAAAATGAATTGCTTAAAGAAAAAAGAAAGAAAGAAAAAGAAGAAAAAATGATAGAAAAAATAGTTTGCTAAAACGGAAGAAATAAGTAACGAAAGAAAGAAAGAAAGAAAGAAAGAAAGAAAGAAAGAAAGAAAGAAAGAAAATAAGTAAGAAAAAGAAAGAAAAGAAAAATGTATTTTTTATATGGAAGGGAGGAAAAAGAAGAAAGGAATTTGGTAAAAGAATGAAAGAAAATATTTTTTAACAGAAAGAAGCAAAGAAATTAATGAAATTGCTAAAAGGAAGAAGTTGTTTGTTGAAAGAAATTAAAAAAATTAAAGAAATTAATTCGTTAAAAAGAAAAACGATTCTCCTGAAACAAAAAAGAAGAAAAATAAGAATCAGGAAAAAAAAGATATAAAATAATTTGCTAAAAGGGGGAAAGAAAAGAAAGAAAACAAAGAAAAGACCGAATTGAATTTGCTAAAAGAAAGAAAGAAGCAAAGAAATAAAGAAAGAAAAAAAAAAAAAAAGAAATGAAAAAAGACCAATAATAACCAAAAATACGAGAAAAAAAGAGAAAAAGAAGAAGAAATTACCAAAAGAAAAAAAACAGATTTAATTAAAGAAAAAATTAAAACGACAGGAATAAGAAGGAAAGGGAAGAAAAAAATGCAAAATTGTTCCTAATACGTTAGAGACATAGACGTTTCATTTATATGCCTCTCGGAATAAATGCAAAACATGAATATAACTATCAAGTCGTATTGTACGAACTTTTATGACTTGTTGAAGACAGAAAATTTCAACCAATAGAAATGGTGAAAGTTGCAATGTAAAGATGAATAATAGGTCAAGTGAAAATAATACCCATTTCATAACTAAAGAATGGAGATTTAAATACAGATCGTTAGATTTTTTCCGATTACATTTAAGAAGAAAGTTCATAAAAATAAAAAATGTCAGCATCCACCATAATGAAAGAAATTCGTATGAGTTTAGTGAATAAAGGAAATTAAGATGTTTCAGAATTGCAATCATAAAATAACTTTAATTCTAGGTGAAGTATTATAGACATTTACAATTATTTGGCTAAGTCCTTGGTATTCGATAACATTTTTTACTATTGCTCAAGAGCTGCTCAAGCTAAAGGGACACTGAATCAGGTGCGTGGTATGTATTTAAGAGGAGGAAATGTGAAGTCGAGATTATGAGGATAAAGAAAAAAGATAACGATTAATTTAAAATTTTTATTTTACAGAGAAGCATCCACGCGGGAGTCAGATTCACAAAGTAACGGTTCTTTAGGAAAAAAAATATCTCTATGTGGAACTTTCGCGTTACAATTGGAATACGGGGGAAGAGGATGATTCGACTCTATGGAAGTAGCATAGCGAGTCTTAGCTGAAAAAGTCCGAACAGGTGAGACTATAGAACGGGTCTCATGTGAAAGCCTTCCGTGGAAATAGCGATGGAATATCGATATAGGGTTGCGACGTTGAAAAGTAGACAATTAGAAGTCATTATTCACAAGACACCATAAACGATTTTGAATTCTATCGGGTCCGGAAAATGACGATTTAGCAGTTTTAGTGCCACGATGGCAGCATTAATCCATTTTTTTGGTCCCATCTGACTTTTGTAAAGATAGATTTTGGCAGAAGTCAAGTACTTTCTGGAACAGTAGAAGGAGCTGTCCATTTTATCAGGTCATCCCATAAGTTCTGTCCGAATTTTACCTTTTTTTAAAATGAACAAAATTTAAAGAGTATTTTATAACGTCTAATGGAGCTGAACATTATTTTTATATAATGCGTTTCAAATGATCAAATTTTATTTCAGAGAACAATAAAATGAAATTTTGTTTGATTAAAACCCTGCTAACATGGAAGTACCCAAGAATCATTTGAGGCACATAATGCTTTATGAATTCAAGAAAAGAAAATCAGCAGTCGAAGTGGCTAGAAACATTCACTCAGTTTATGGAGAGGAATGTGTGAATGAAAGAACTTGCAGAAGATGGTTTGCAAAATTCAGAGGTGGAGATTTCACCCTTGAAGATGAAGATCGAACCGGACGTCCAGTTGAGTTTGATGAAAAGCTTCTTGAAGTAGCCCTTGAAGAATATCCTGCTTTATCAGTTGAGGAATTGGCAGTGGTTCTCAGTTCAAACCATACAACTGTTCATCATCTTCAACAACTTGGAAAAGTTCCGAAACTTGGAAAATGGGTTCCCCATGAATTGTCTGAAAACAACCTCAAATCCCGAGTTGACATCTGCTCTTCTCTCCATTCTCGTCAACTTGTTTCACCTTTTTTGGATAGACTTGTGACTGGCGACGAAAAAGGGATCTTTTATCGAAATGTTAAGCGTCGTAGACAGTGCCTTGGTAAAGGGAGAGGACCCCAGCCACAGCCGAGAAGGGAACTTCATGGGCAAAAGGTTCTTCTTTCAATCTGGTGGGATCACCAAGGAATAATCCACTTTGAATTCTTACCACCTAATGCAACAATTAATGCTCAAATATACTGTCAGAGCGTTTGAACCAAGCTTTGAGGAAGAAAAGACCTGTTCTAGTGAATCGAAAAGAGGTGATGTTTCATCAGAACAATGCGCGACTCCATACAGCAAGAATCACGTCACAAAAGATCAAAGAACTTGGTTGGAAGAAAATTCTTCATCCACCTTATTCTCCCGATCTTGCTCCTTCAGACTACCATTTGTTTCGTAGCTTACAGAATCATTTGGAAGAAACAGCTTTTGTAACACAGGAAGAGGTTAAAACTGACATTTGTGAGTTCTTCGAATCAAAGCCAAAAGAATTTTGCAGTAATGGAATTAGTAAGCTTGTTAATAGATGGAAGGAAGTCATAGATAATCAGTGAAAATACATCGTTGATTGAATCTGTAATTAAATGTAACATTTGGTCACTTGTTTTCTTTATTCAAAATTCGGACAGAACTTATGGGATGACAATATCAACATAAGCAGTGAATTGTATACATAAAGTTTTTCTTGTGGTTTGGAGTAAACTTGAGACTGAATAAAGTATGTAGGTTCATTGAAAGTTCATCAAGTGATAGTGAAATTATATTAGCTTCGTCTTAGGAGACAAAAGGAATCTAGTACTTTCTGGAGCGTTTAAAGCAGAAGACCACTTTAACATCAACTTTAACAATGAATCATATACATGAAGTTCCTGTTTAGATCTGAGATCAACTTGAGACCCAATAGACGTTCAAAGCATTGAGCCTTACTGAAAGTTCATGGTGACCGAAGAAAAATCTAGGTTTTATCGGTACTTTGGTTTTGGGGTTATTTATCCTAACAAATCATTTTCCACCATTGAACTGTTAGAGTTAGGTCTGACGAGATATCAACTGCAAGGCTGAAATATTAACTGAATAGCTGTTTACTAAATAACTGATTTTGTGTTATCGCGTCATTTTTTTTGGTGGTGGGTGTCGGGATGTTATGTATTTAGAGACACTTAAATCCAAAGCTGTCTCTTCTACAATGAATCTGTTCCTGAGAAAATGCTGCCTGAGTGGGATCTCCTTTTAACAATTGAAATAGAGAGGAAATGTGGAATATTCGATTCTGTAGACGTAGTATAATGTGTCCTATCTATAAAAAATATGAACTGGTCGAGCTAAAACATGTAGCTCCTCTGAACATTTGCCATGGAAAGATTGAATAGCGACAGCCTTGTGTCATTGTATCTCTAGGGAGAGAAGCTGCACGGTAGCAACATGTCATTTCCAAAAAAAATGGCGTAAACAATTCTGAATTCTATCACGATTCTAAAGTGAGGCTTGAGAAGCTTCAGCTCAGATATAGCAGCGACACTTAATTATTTGTATAATATGACTCTTTTAGAAATAAAACATAACAGGTGTCATGCATTTTCTGGAGCGGTAGTATTAACAGTCCATTTTGACATCAACTTTAGCAATGAATCGATTACATGAAGTTCATTTTGACGAAGGGAATTAACTCAAGACCCAATATACAAAGCAATGAAAGTTCAAGTGATGGTGAAGCCATATCAACTTGGTACTGGGATATAGACAGAAGGAATCAAGAACTTTCTGGAGCAGTAGAAGTAAAATCCCATCTTAACATCAACTTTAGCAAAGAATCGTATACGTAAAGTTCCTTTTCAGGTCTGGAGTTAACTTGAAACCCAATAGACAACGCATGTAGGTTTATTGACAGTTCATCAAATGATAGTGAAACTATATTAAATTGGTTTGGGGGAAAGACAGAAGGAGTCAAGTTCTTTCTGGAAGTAGAAGTTTATTTTAACATCAACTCTAGCAAAGAATCGTATACATGAAGTCCCTCTTGAGGACTGGAATCAACATGAGACCCAGTAGACGTTCAATTCATAGAGCCTCATTGATAGTGCATTCGTTCATAGTAAATGGAGAAAACACAGATCGCTGGTGATGAAATGATCCTAGTTTGGATTTTCTTCCGCTACGATTTTGAATCTTAGTTTAATCTTCAAATTCCTTTCCTCCAAAGACGGTAACGACTTGGAAAAATATTTTGTGCCATTATTTATATCAAACCCCAACTTTCAAATTTAGTTCAAAAGCACGGTTTCAAAATCGACCTGCCCTAATGCTGCAGTATTTTCTGTAACAATTTTTTTACAGGGTGATTTTGCTAGCCCCACATCAAATTCGGAGTTTTCCTTCTCTTAGAATGGTTACCAACCAAGTCTGCTCTATTATTAACCAGTAGCTATTGAGAGAAGATATGGATTTTCAAGACAATTTGTGCGAAAACGAATACAGCTGCTTAGGTTGGAATTTAAATCGTCACGCTCATCCCATTTTCTGTATCGATTACCGCTACACTACACGCCCATATAATGACTGAAACCCAGACAAGATTTTGAGTTAATCTCAACCATAAATCTTGCAACTGAATCCGCAATACCTGCCCATGCCATGTCTTTTTTTTTTTTTTTTTAAAAAAAAAAAAAAACCTGATGAAAATATCTGTGGTGCCTGGTCACTAGCAAAAGGGACATACCAAGAAGCGAGCTACAATTTGGAGACGTCAGAACCAAGCAAGTGAAGAAATTTAACCGAGAACAGTTTTAACAGACAACTGAAAAGGTAACACAAAAATCTGTAGGCACATTGAACTAGCAAAAAAGATGCCTCCCAAAAGCTAACTCCAGTATGAAGATATTTCGTTAGACACAGGGGACAGGTTGCTGAACTGCTATGTACTGTATTTGACGGTGTATAAGACGCACGGGTGTATAAGACCCACCTCAATTTCAGCAGGGAAAATCAAGAAAGAATTAGTAATTAGTAAAATTAGTAAAAGCATTAGTAAGTGGTACAACCTAGGTTATATTTATGAGGTATTATTTTGGTTAAACAAGCTATGATTACAATTAAACGAAAAATAATAGGAAAAAAAGAACACGAACCAATAAAAACTTTATTATATCCAAAAATAAGAAAACAAAAGAAAAATCATGCCATTATTACAATTGAGAAAAACAGTACAGCTACCATTAAAATTTTATTCATCTTCAAATCCATAAAATTCGTAGTCTTCGTTATCAAATCTCTGATACTAATTTTCAATACTATTATCATCGTCGTTAAATAATGCGTCATCTTCCGTTCCATTGAAAGCATTGCTAATGCCACACC